GAAACGAATTCCCGATATTGCAGGCGGCGAATTGTGGTTCCCGAGGGATGCGGACATAAACGAAGTTCTCAGGCTTTTGAGAAGCGCATTTCAAGCCATGCCCCCGCCGACCACTGCCGCAATGGGGTTCCAGTGTTTCTGCGAGAGATCGCAAGTAGCATGGCTGTGTGTACGTGCGGTACGGCAGTGGGCCAATGATGGTGGACCTATCCCGCGCTTCCAGGAGTTACTCGCTGGCTGTTTTATCATTGGCACGCCGCTTTTCTGGCGCCGCAAATTTGCTGCGTCCCATGGCAAGGAAACTGAATTGCACCCATATTCAGGCGGCGGTAACATGCGGCGACTCTCAGGCATCTTGAACCAGCTAGGTGCGCGCAACGATGCTTTTCTGTTCTTCGATGTTTGTATGATTTCGCATGCAAGCAAACTGGGTTACGAATCCAAGCGAGACCAAGTTTGGCCTGGTGCGCCCGTTCGGGATGGTACTTGCAGGCCATCCTTTGAGAGGAACCCGCAGGCCGTTTACCCTCTTCCCGATCGCACCCAGGAGCAGCGGAAGCAGTTCAATTATGGCTTGTGGGAAATGAATCGTTCATTTTCTTTTCAAGAGTGCGGAGTTATCGTGCTTCCAGGGCTAGAAGGTCCGACCACATGGCCAGACAGCGTGGTACGGGGCGTTGAGACGTGAAGAACCACAGGCCTTTCCAGAACCGCGGAAGGTGTCCGCTACTGCAGCCGCGTCGCAAATTCGCAAGATGTCGCGGTGCAGGCGGTCCGCAGATCCCGAAAGTGGCCCAGCGGTGGCACAGTGGAATCGGGCAAATGGTATGCAGACGTGGTCTGGCCTGATGCGCGACAAGACCCTTGGGGGCTAGTTTCGCTGACAAAGGAGCTCGCGCTGCCGTGCGCCATCATTAAGTCAATATGTTCGACGCAGGCCTCCGACACTGGTCTGTCTTAGGATGCTGTGCGAGCCCGTAGGGGGAGAACCACATGCTGTCTGCGCTGTGCGCACGGCTCTCTGGCCATCCCGGTCTTCCGCCACGACGACTCTCTATTACTATACGCTCCCACTCCGTCACCTCGTTGGCCAGTGGCCGCCCAATCCGGGTGGACCCAGTCCCAGCCCAGCATCGCACTCTACTGCAGCGCCGGCTTCGAAGCCATGATGGCGCCAGAATCGCAGAGCGGATTCCGTTTGGAAGACAATGCGATGGGCCCGGATTGTCCTGGAGAGTTCCGTTTTGGATTTCGAATTGAGTTTGGGGCGGATGTTTTGGGGCCAGGAATGAAGTCTCCAAAAAAGCCGCACGAAATTCACTCCGTTTTGCGCTCGCCGCTTCGGGGTTTAACATCGACAGAAATCCACGCAAAAGTCCAGTGCAGCACGTCTGCAAGGTCGGTGCAGTGAGAAGCCATGGCCGTTGTCCCCCTTCGGCAGGCCACGTTGGTGCGAGCTGGGGGCGTGCCGGTGTTGTCGGATCGGATCGGGATCCAACGATTATCGTGTGCACAGTGCTCCGGTGAGACATATGTCGGCGGGGCTCCCTCCAGCGATCATGGCAGACGTCAGGTTTTGTCGCGAATCGCCCAGGGGAAGCACCCTGAGTTTGGAGCGGAGCTGGATTCAGGACCCTGGCCCATGGGGTGTGACGGCATGTTCTGTCGAATTCTCATTTCAGAGGATCAGAAAATATTTCGGGCCATCCGACAATTGTTTTGTTATTCAGGGATCGTGTTCCTCCCTTTTGGCTGTACCCATCTCCGCGCTTTCGCGGTCCTCCAGGGATTAAGTCTGGGCTGGCGATTGCCCGCCGCGTTGTCCGCCGAACACCGTTGGACACTCGTCTGTTTCAGGCAGGTCGCTCACAGCGTCTGGCCTCCCTCGCTGCCCTCACTGTTGGCCCTTCGTTCAGCCCTCACGGGATCGCTGACGAAAAGCATCAACACACAAAGTTTGGGTGGGGAGCCCTCGAACGAACAATGGTTCGTTGGCTTCCCAGGGGCCGGCGCCAGGAGCTCCTTTGGACCTCTTGGCACCTCGATGCGGACCTGTCGGGTTCTTCTGGCTGCCTTTGGGCGCCCTGGGGCCGTCTCGGTCTTTCCTCAGGCCGTCTTGGAGGGGTCTGGTGCTCTCTTGGGGGCGTCTTGTTCAATTCTGGTAGAGTTTGCGTGGACAGGGCTCAGTCGTCGAATGCCGTCTTGAAGCTCCCCGGAAAACGTTCGGCCAGGGTTCTTCCCGGGGCCCCTCGCGCGCGGTACCATACCATGAGGGGGCCACGAAGAGGTAGATGCTGAGAATGATGGGTTGGAAAAGGAGCAGGAGAAGCTGGCTCAATGATATGACCCGCACCTTCTACCAGGAAGTTTGATCCACGTGATTTCTCCATCCAGGACGTGAGTTGGATACACATGGGGCAGCGTCTTAGTGGGCCCTGGAAACGACAGGGCCGTTTTGTTACCTGTTCCGTTTTGCCGTTTTTGTGCCGGTTCCGACGCCGTTTTTGTACCGGTTCCGTCGCCGTTGTTTGACCGGTTCTGGTTCCGGTTCCAATTCTGGAGCCGTTCTTTTGTTGTTTCCGGTCGCCGTTTTTTTTGCCGTTTCCATTTTCAAGGGACATGTTGCTGGGAACGGTTAAAAACGGCCCCTTTATTGGAAAGGAGGAAAAGGAGGCGGAGGGGGAGGAGGAGGAGGAGGATGAGGAGAAAGAGGAGGAGGAGGAGGAGGAGGAGGAGGAGGAGGAAGAGGAGGAGGAGGAGGAGGAGGAGGAGGAGGGCTACGAGGAGGAGGAGGAGGAGGAGGAGGAGGAGGAGGAGGAGGAGGGGGAAGGGGCAGCTTGCCTTTCCAGTGCTCGGCCCTCGTGCAGGCAGAGAACGCCGGCCCCCCGCAGGTGCTTCTAGGAAGCCTGGGACACAGAGCAACGGGGTCGACTTCATCATCATCATCATCATCATCATCATCATCATCATCATCATCATCGTATTCATCATCATCATCATCATCATCATCATCATCATCATCATCATCATCATCATCATCATCATCATCATCATCATCATCATCATCATCACAGAGCAACGGGGTCGCCTTGGAGGACGTTCGCGCGCAAGCTTCCCGCACAGGGCTAAGTCGGGCCTGTCCCCCATACAGGGGGATTTGCGACGAAAAATAAAACATACCCTAAAAATAATCCAAAAATTGTCATGGGACTATTTTTTGAGCATTTGTTCGCCATTGTGGGGCATCTTTGGGGTATTTTGAATTTTTCTCCGAAAATCCCCCTGTAGGGGGGCAGGCCCGACTTAAGCATAGGGTCGCGCGTGAGCGCCCTCGCTGTCGCGAGCGGCGCTGTGTAGGCGGCCACCGCCACCAACGTGAGGTGTCGCGTCAGACCGCCTGTCCACTTGCCTCGCCGCAGAAGCTCTCGTTCTGGCCCAGCGACGCTGGAGTGAGTGGCCCAGGCCAGCCCCTCCACTCATTCCAGCCCTGGCTGGTGTCCATCGAGTTTCGTCCAGCCCTGGCGTTCTCGTCCCGGCTGCTCTGCCAGTCTTGCCAGCCCTGGCCACTTCCACTCCCATGGGGCGTCCGGCTTCCCCTTCTCTCCGGCTGATCTGTGCTCTAAGATTGCCCCAACTTCCCCGTGTGGAGATTGTTTTTTATTTTCTGGCGCGTGACGGTCGCTGCCAGGGACCCCCCCCCAGGTAATGGTAACGATCGTATTTGGGGGGGCTCGGGCCTGAGCACCCCCTCCACTAGTGCTGGTGCTCGCGCGCATGCTACATGGCGATGGTAGTGCCTCACCCCGCCCAAGCGTTACTGTCACCGAGGCCCCAGCCCCCCCGCTCCCTCTGGGGAACGACCGTTACCGAAAATACTGCAGAAACGCCATCTCTTGTCAATGAGATGTCCAGCTTCCCCTCTTCTCCGGCTGACCTTCGTAAGCTAAAACGTATCCGCATCCGCGGTTTCGCGGCTCGCTTCTTGGGTCGCGACCCTGCGAATACAGGGCGTGTTTTTGTTCCTGGATGCCCCTCGCGGAACGTATCCGTGCGCCGCGTATCCGCGGGACCGCGCCCCGGAATCCAGACCGCGAGGGAGAGGATACGTATACGTTAGTCGGGCCGAACGAAAGGGGGGGATATTGGGAAAGGGGGGGGTGCGAAATCTGCTGCGTGCAGCTGGTTTCGGCCCCGCCGCCGGGCCCATTCCTCGATTCACGGGCGCCTCCCGGCGCCGGGAGGCGCTAGGAAAATCAGCCACGTGAGCTGATTCTCTACCTTACCCTTCGCTATCCCCCCCTCTCGTTCCCCCCGAGTTCGCCGCTCGTGAGATCCGTGCTTCAACCGCAGGCCTAGAGATTGACATCAACACCAATAGCGGCGGTGTGCATCCACCGAGGGAGGAAGCTCCCGATCTCGGTGATGGTGGTAATATTCTGGCTTCCAAGGTGGCCGAGATATTGCCACCAACACCGAAATCGAGGATCGTCTTCCCCCTGTGGAGGCAACCCCTTGTGTTGGTGTTGGTGCCCATTTCCCAGACCCCCGACGTCATGATTTTTTCATGACGTCGACCCCCAGAGGTCTGGACCCATTCCCCAGGACCGGCTTCTTTTCATCCTGAATCGTTTTTTGACGGTCCCGAGGCCCGGTAGGGGGCCCCAAAAGCTACAAATATGGAAAAACTTACCGTCGTGATTTTGTCATGACTCGAGGGGGTCTGGGAAGTTACACGCACGGCCACCTCGGGGCACCTCGCGCCCAAACCCGCGCGGGCGGACCACCTCCGGGGCGCCGCTCGGCTCGGCGCGTCTGCCGGCGCCGACTCGCAGGACGGCCCACGGCGCGGGGGCTGCGCCGACGGAGCGCGGAGCGGGGGCGAGCGGGTCGTCGAGGAGCCGAGCGCTCCGATCCCACTACTCGAGGACGTCTAGGTTCTAGGCCTCCACGACCTCCCCGCCGGGCGCCCGCCGGGCTCTGCCCTCCGCCGTGCTCCGCAGGTGGCCGCTGGCGGGCCCGCAGGGGGACCGCGCCGGCGGGCGCCCGCCAGCGCCGCGCACGGCGCGGGAGGCGCCGCGGCGGGGCCGCCTGGGCTCGCCTCTGCGTGGCTCTGCTGCCCAGCGGAGGTCTTTCCCAAGCTTCGGCCTCATGGGGGCCCTCGCCGGGCCTCGGGGCCGTCAAAGAACGGGTCGGGAGGGAAAGGCCGGTGCCAGGGAGAAGGGGTCCAGATCTCTGGGTGTCGACGTCGTGCAAAAGTCATGGCGTCTGGGGTCTGGGTCTCGCTCCGTCTGGCTCCATCCCCATCACTCTGGCCTCATCTCAGGCGGTCGCACACACGGATCAAGGGGGCGCGGATCAGCGACGGGTCCCGCTTCCACGGGAGATCGTTGATTGCCGCCGCCGAGCGAGGCGGCACGGGCCGCATTTTGGGGAGGGCACCTCCCCCGATCCATGGATTTGGCGACCGCGCGCCAAATCCATGGATCGCGAATCCATGTTTGCGCGCCCCCGGATCTGGCCTTAATCCCGCTCGCTCCGGCCTGATCCCAGGTTCAAGCCGGCCTCATCTAGCTCAGTGGCCCCTTCCTGGGGCGTGTAGCCATCAATCGTTGCGACGGAGGCCTCCCAGGAGTTGCCTCCGAAGGCTCGAATCGAGGCGGGGCGCCAGGAGGCGAGCGGCGAAGGGGCTCAGGGAGGGGGTGATGGGGCTCGGGTGAGAAGGGGACGCTGCTCGCCTTGTGGCCCTGTTGCCAGCCCAGGGGGGGGGCTCGGTCGGATGTAGCCAGGACTCTTTGGGAAGGGAAGGCGGCTAGTGTTTGGGGCCCGAAGCTCCAAAAACCAACCATAGTCACTAAACCGAGTCTGCCGTACTTGGTGCTTTTTCGGATGACTGGAGTTCCCGTCAGAGGAATGGGGCGGGAGGCCCCCCGGACACATCACTAAACCAGGCCCCACTAAGTCCAGAAGTCCCGCCAACGCACGATTCGGAACGAGGCCGGGGGTACCACGAGTCGATTGCACGTAAGAGTTACCTTTCGCCGAATGACCTTTGGTGCTGACCCAGCGGGGTCCCCGATCGCTGAATGCGATGCGATAAGCAGCGGTTTGCGCGTGGGTTTTGCCCCCCCCCCCCCCCCCCCCCCGCCCCCACGCCAACCTTACTGGAATACAGCAGTCGTCTCCGAATGCATGGTCAAGAATCATTCCAGAATGGGAGCCGCAATGCGCACTTAGGTCTCAAGGAAGACCTGCGCGTCGCTGGTCAGATGGTATTCGAAGCTTCTTCGAGTCACAAGGTGTCCACGGAGCATGGTACAGTTTCGAAAGGGGCTGGAAGACATTTGCATCTGATCTCGTGCAGAGGAACGACATGTGAGGGCTGCGGCCCACGCGCCTTGCCCCGTGCGGGCCGGCAGCTTTGGCCGGACACGGCGCGCCTCGCCTCGCCTCGCCACCCTAAGGCAGAGCAGGAAGGGTCACTCTTCATGTCCAGGTCCAGGGCCATTCCTGCGTGCAGCCGACTCATGCTGAGCGGCGAGGGGCGCCAGGGGAGGGGGCGGCTCGGGTGAGGCCTGGCATCGTTTGGACGTGTGCATTTTTTTTTCGGCGAGAACCATCGAGGACCATCCTCGACCAACGAGCAAAAAAACACGCACGAAACCGACAAAAAACACAAAAAGTAGACGTCCGAGCGATGGCGAGGAGGAGGCGCTGCTCGTGAGGGACCCGCCTTTTTGCCGGAGAGCTCCTCGAGAGCTCAGAGGGCCTCAGATTGGAAGCGCGGGCACCGCAGGGTGGCCCCGGAGCTCGCTCCGGCCTCCGTGGAAGCGCCTCGCAGCGACTTGCTCGAGGCTGCAGCTTGTCCCGAGAGGCCTTCTCTGCAAGCGCTTCCCGCCACGCGTGCCCAGAAGCTCTCCCCAAAGCTGTTTTTCGAGAGCTCCCTCGAAGAGCTTCCAGACTCTGGAAGCTCTTCGAGGGAGCTCTTTCCAGAGCCCTTTCAAATGCCACTGGAAAGGGCTCTGGAATCCCGAGCCCTTTCCAGTGGCATTTGGGAGGCCGCTTCTGGCGCGCCGCTACCCGGGCTTCGGGCTGAACGAGCGGGCCCTCCTGCCGGCCGGGGAGGCGGGGGGCTCGGAGGAGGCGGGGCGGGCGGGCCCCGAGGGACGCGGGCCCTGAGGCTCGTCGCCGCCTTGGAGCCGCCCCGGGCCTTTCGCGGGTCCCATGTAGGGTTAAGTCGGGCCTGTCCCTCCACAGGGGGGCTATTCCAAAGTAGTCAAGAATAGTGCGGGGATTATTTTTTGAGCATTTTTGGGCCATTTCGGGGGCATATTTTGGAGTATGTTTTATTCTGCGTCGAGAATCCCCCTGTAGGGGGACACTCAGGAGAAGAAAAAACACACATACACAATGAATCGCCGATTCCCAAGAAAATATGGGAACCTATGGGACTTGGGGGGGAAGACAAAAACACAGAACATATGGGAAATGATAGGGGGATCT